AAGAAATGAGCATGGACGTGAAGACAGCGGAAGAATAGTTCGGCATCATGTCGTGCCCAAAATTCGTTAAGGTGGGGACGCAGAGGGATAAAGCTGAGGCCTTTGCTGAGTACAGAGCGTTCAGCATCGGACAGCAGAAGGTTAGGAGGGATGGTGAATACCCGACAGGAGGTGGGGGGGTTGGGGGAGGGGATAGAGTCAGAGGATTTAACCCCCATTAACAACTATTCACCCTCCCAGCCTGATCGTTAGCAACTCCTTTATCTGTCCAACTGTCTTTCTCTCTCTTTGGGCTCTATCCTATCGTTTACTCCCTATCCCACCCACCTCCCTATTTTCGGCATATAAACTGATGTTTTCCCGGCCACCATCAGTTCTGAGGAAGCGTCACCGGATCCGAAACGTTAACTCTGTTTTTTCCTTCACAGATGCTGCCAGACCTGCTGAGCTTTTCCAGCAACTTTGCTTTTGTTCCTGATTTACAGCATCCGCAGTTCTTTTGGTTTTCTTTAAGTTTGAGCAGCACGTAACACATCAGAATATGTTCCCCATCTACCTCAAAGCTGAACTAAAAGTTATATTTATTTCTTTCAATTCTGGAGATGATGGGTCATATTTCAACCCCCATGGTGTAGCAAAAATAGAAATGTGGAATGAATAGGCAAAAAATAAAATCACCACTGACATACCAGAGAAATGAAATGTTTGCAAGGCATGGTCTGATTGAATGCCTTCAAAATGAGTGATACAGCACAAATATATAGACATATGAAAAATCTAGAAGAATGTCTGCCAAAGTTACTCAAAATATAAAGGTGTCCTGGAGCTGTAGAAAGACTGCTGCAGCCCACGTGGTCAATCATAAAATTAAAAGCAACGACCAACCACCTCATTCTGCATGGTGGCTCTAGAATGCTAGAGCGTCCAGTGGAGTAAGAATCTTTTCCTTTTCTGCTGTGAACTTCTGCAGTTCCAATTGTTTATTTTGGCTAGTTTGGAGCTGTACTTGCTGACAACTCCTACAGGATTAGGGGACCAGGTATTTTACGTAAGCATTTGCTGCTTGAATTGAAATCAATTTGACAGTTTACTGCAGGGATCAGATTATTGATAGTAACTACTCAGAACCCTAACATTGAGGGGGTCTCCCTGAGCTTTCTTTTCGTCTGGTTTTTAATGCCTTTGCGAAGTCATGTGGGTAATTCGTGAAACCTGAAAACAGGACAAACCCGACCTGGCCAATTATTACCCCTGAGGAAGGGTCATCGGACCTGAAACGTTAACTTTGATTTTTTTCTTCACAGATACTGCTAGACCTGCTGAGCTTTTCCAGCAACTTCTGTTTTTATTACCCCATCAGTCTGCTCTCAATCATCAGTAAACGATGGAAAACGTCATGAACAGTCCTCTCAACATTCAATGGCATTACCATCAATGAATCCCCCACTATCAACATCCTGGGGATTCCATTGACCAGAAACTGAACGGAATCATCATATAAATGCAGTGGCTACAACAGCAGGTCAGATGCTAGGAAGACTGCAGCAGTAACTCACCTCCTAATGTCTCAATGCCTGTCAACTACCTACAACACATAAGTCAGGAATGTGATGGAATAGTCTCCACTTGCCTGGATGGGTGCAGCTCCAATAACACCCAAGAAGACCAGTGTCATCCAGGACAAAATAGCCCACTTGATTAAAAGCACTTCTACAAATATCCACTCCATCATCGACTCTGTAGCAGCAGCAAGTACCGACTGCAAAGTGCACTGTAGAAATTCACCAAGCATTCTTAAATAGCACCTTCCAAACCCATGACCACTTCCATCTGGAAGGACAAGGGCAGAGGATACATGGGAAGATCACCACCTGCTACTTCTGCTCCAAGCCACTTACTATCCTGACCTGGAAATGTATCGCTGTTCCTTCTGTGTCACTGGGTCAAAATCCTGGAACTTTCTCCCTATTGCCATTGTGAGTCTACCTACAACCTGCAGTTATTCAAGAAGGTAGCTCATCGCCACCCTCCCAAGGGCAAGCAGGAATAGGCCCAGCCAACAGCACTCACATCCTAGGAGTGAATTTTTAAATTAAACTATTTACAAAGTCAAGTTGTCTCTATTTGTGTAGTAAAAACAGGGAAAGGAATAGACCATTCGCCGGAGACAGTTTTATCATGGCTGAGGTGCAACCTAACTCCATCCAACACCTTTGCTTCATGTACTTTAATGTCTTTGGTTAACAAAAATCTATTTCACATTTAAACATTAAGGATTGATCTAACATTGATTATCCTTATTGGCAGGGAGTTCCACCTTTCCAACACATGTGTAGAAGTGCTTCTTAATTTCACTGCTGAAAGGTTTGATTCTAATTTTACAGTATGGCCTCTCAGTTCTAGATGCAAGAACTGGGGAAATAGATGTGTCAAATCTTATGCTGAACGTCACCAATAAGAGTAACACTTCAAACCATTTCAGAACTAGAGAGAGTTGCAGATTTAATTAACACAATCACCCCTACCTGCGTTCCTGACACTCAAATGTGTCAGTTGTGTATATAATCCTGGTTCACCATTCAATTAAATGCCTCATTGGTACCTTATGGCGCAGAGGGGTCCCTGCCCCTGGACCAGGAGGCATGGGTTCAAGTCCCATCTGCTCCAGAGGTGTGTAATAACATCTCTGAAAAGCCTTATTAGAAAAATAGGTCAGTGTTCGAATGAAACAGAGATTTCATCCAAACTTGCCCTGGTTATTTGGGATTCAATTCATCCACACCCTCTAACCTTTTTGATTGTTTCCTAGTTTTTAAATGTTGAAAATAAAGTGGACTTTGAGCTTTTAAGATCGGCAAATAAAAAAAAGGCTTCAGCAGGTCCTTTAAGTAAATGCACTAACTATATTTAGTAAACTTACATTGTTGGCATATTGAAAATTAGCTCAACCAGAAAGAACCTATAACCAATTTTATTCCAGGAGGCCTACTGCAGTCTCAGAGCCACATCTGAACTGAAATTCATACAAAACCATTCCATTACAGTCCTGTGATTAATCTTTGATCAGTTCATTAACTCTCAATTTAAACAGCAGATGAATGTTTAGGGAAGTGAATCCCATGACTGAAATCTTGAGGAAAACACAGCTAATAACTAAACTACCCTGGGAGACCTATGTATCACACAACAGACCTGATTACCATCATCAGCTAGCACTAATTGGATTTTTGCCACATACCCCATTCATCTGCTTTGCTCTCATTCAAAATTTATGGCATTCAAGTGGGAATGTATGGGTACCACTTCTCAAAGTGCAGATCACCAGGAGTTCTTGCATCACTTCATTTCTCTGGGCATTAATGCAACAACAACTTGCTTTTATGTAGAACCTTAAAAATAATAAACATCCCAAGGTAGCTTCAAAGCTGACATAAATTATCACTAACTATTGGATTCACACACGAGCATTGCCCTAGACAAAGAATTGTTCCAACTCCCTGCATTGCGCAGAACTTCACACAGAAATCAGATCAAGAGTAGTAGCACTCAGAAACACTGTACATAAATCCACAGTATTTATAACAAACAAATCAGGATGTTTAAAAGTCGTACTTGCACTTATGTAAGCCCAGGAGGACATGTAAGGTTTCTCTAAAATAGGCTCACAGGAGGTCAGCATCATGGGCAATGCCAACATTTGTTGTCCATCCCTAACTGTGTATGGTGCTGCTTGTAAGATTAGAGTCTATGCACAGGTTTTGTCAGAATGCTGTTAGAGAGTTTCTGAATGTTGACCCAGCAACACTGAAGGGACACCAAGGAAGGATAGTGTGTAGCTTGCAGGGAAATTTGCAGGTGGTGGTGTTTCATGTATCTGCTGCCCTTGTCCTTCCAGATGGTAAAGTCGGACGATGTGGAAGATGCCGTCAACAGAGCTTTGTTGAGTTACTGTAATGTATCTTGTAAATGGTACACACTACTGCATCAAGAGAAATGGTGGAGGGAGAGCTTGTTTAAGGTGGTGGATGTGGCGCCAATCAAGCATGGTGTCAGGCTTCTAGACTGTTATTGCAACTGCAGTAATCCAGCTCAGTGGATAGTACTGTATCACACTGAAAATGAAAATTGCTGGATATCACAGCAGCTTGGTCTGTTGAAGAGTCATCTAGACTCAAAATGCTAGCTTGCTCTCTCTCCATAGATGCAGCCTGACCCGCTGCAATTTCCAGCGCTTTTTTTGTTTTCAGTACAGATTCTAGCATCTGCAGTAATTTGCTCCTATTCCTGTAATCTATCACATTCCTGATTTGTGCCTTCTAAATGGCTGGGCATTGAGCAGTTACTCAATGCACTTGTACGTGCTCATGACCAATTAATTATAACAAATCAGGATATCAAAAGTCAGGGATTCAACTACCACTGAACTTTGAAGGAAAATGTTTAGATTTTCTCCAGTTGAAAATTACTATCATCTGGTACGAATGTTACTTGCCACTAACCTGGCCTGAGTTAATGTGAACAGATGACCCAATCAAAAACAATAAGTTGCAAATAATCCCTCGCACTGCAATCAGCAGCAAGCTACTCTGCTTCTGACCTTGTGATGAAGAAAAGGTGAAGATGGCTGGACCTAGGGCACTCTGCGGAGGAAGTCCAGCAATGTCCTGCAGCTGTGATGACTGGCTTCCAAAAACCACAACATTTTCCTTGGGACAAAAGCTTGACTCTGGCCTTGTTGTGTTATCCATGTTCTTACTTCAGTACAATTTGATTTTGGGATGAAGCTATTCAGAACTCAGCATAATCTACTCAAACAGCCTGAAACGGACTTGTCGCTGAGGCTTATCAGTGTGTGCAAACTTTGGGCAAACTCAGAGCTTCCTACATCTTATGCATCACCAAGATTATGAAGATCAAGATTAAGAAACTAAAGTTATTTTCATGAAAAAAAAAGACACGTAATATCTACCTAATACCACCACATGCCACTGAAAGGATATTCCATTTCTATTCGAATATCTTCCAGACGGCTTTTTAAATCTTCTGAATCTTCCTCTGCATGTTCATCAAACACAGAAAGTTGCACATTAAGTTCTTCAGTTCCAATTTTCCTTAATTCCTAGAAAACAGTAGACGAAACAATACAGTTACCTTCAGGATGTTGTGGATGCTCAACACTTAGACATTTTGCATCTTAGGTTATCAAGATGCCGAGACCTATAGAAAGTCGAGTAATCTAAATATTTGGAACACATTTTCTGTAAGGACTATTTCAGTGCAATGAAAAATGAGTTGTCACAGGATAACATTTCATGCACCTGCTGATAACAAAAAGTACTAGTACTTGATGATATTTCTCAACTTTTTCAGTTCTGTTAAATTGCTCATCCAAAACCCAACCCAGAGTGAGCCACAATTTCCCCAGTTAAATACTGGAATGTTGAGAGCCCAACCTGCAGCCCTGTAACAAACGATATTCCCTTGTCACCAATAGCAACTTTCTACCACTACCTGGCTCCTAACTTTTTCCACAGCCACTGAGTTAATCCATTTTTAATCCTCAGAATCCAACTGAGCTGATCCCATAATCACTCCGCCACAAAATTTAACATTCCCACTCAATTACATTGTCCAGTTTTGCCCATACCTCAGTCATTCTGATGTCAAGAACCTCATTTGTACTTTTACCACTTCCAAAATATGACAGGTCTCCTCCCTTCCTCCACCAATAAATCACAACTCATCCAAATCTATTTTCCCTATTTCATGCTAAGGTCCATTCACCATTATCCTTGTGCTTGCTTATCCAATTTAGCTTTTAGTTTTCAACACCTCAAATGTAAAATTCCTATTCACCTGTTCAAATGTCAACGCAATCTCACCTCATTTGAGGTAGAAGCAAATTACTGCTGGAACTATTAGTGGCCCTGATGAGGAGTCATCTATACTCGAAATGTTAACTTGCTCTCTCTCCATGGATGCTGTCTGATCTGCTGTGATTGCCAGCATTTGTTGTTTTCACCTCACTTGATCTCTAGAGTCTTCAACACCATCCCAACCCTCAAAAACACTTTAGATCTTCTGACACGGACCTCTTGAGCCCATGTCCTGCCTTTGTCTCACCGCTGAAAACCATGCACCCAGCAAGTGAGATATATACTCTAGAATTCCTTACGCATCACAAACATCTCTCAGTTCCCTTATGTCCATTAACACGTTACATCTCATTGATCAAAGATTTTAAACAACTCACTTTAACATTTCCTCTTTGGATATTTAATTGAGGGGCTAGAAAGAGACATTTACTGACACAAAGGTATAGTCAGGAGGCATATATCTGTAACATTTCACTGTAAATAAATCTATTCCAAGCAGAGACTGGCTTTGGTTTCTTCTTTCAGTAATTGCCTAAAAATTGTAAAACAAAAAGTACTCACCGGTAATATCCAATTGAGGCCCAAACGCATGAACTCACTCCGCAAGTGAATCCTGAAATCAAGTTCGTCTGCAGGAATGATGAGGGCATTAACAAACTGCATGCATGCCACCTGACCAAAGAGAGAATAATTCCAGAGAAGTTAAAAAGACAACTGTATTGTTGATGGCTCAATACAATTATTTTAACGACACATGCAGTAAATATAATTCAAGCAAGTCAGTCCCATAATCGACTTATGATGATTCAACTGATCTCAGCAAGAGCTGCAGATGGGGTGTTATAGAAGACCAGGAGAAGAAAAACCAAATCAGCTTGGGTTCCTTTACTTGAATTTTCTCAAAAATGCAAGGAAGTCCACAAGCCTGTTCTGCTTTTCAAACAGATGATTAAAATACATTACAGTTCCATCTATTTCATTCTGAAGCACTTAATAAAAAAATTCAACAATCTCAGTTCTAATGTGCAGCTGGAAACGCCTACCATGACCCTTTATGCGGACACAAGAGACAATTCAAGCGATTTCCTCCTTTAAATGGAATGGCGGAGCAGTTTTAAGAGACGAAATGACGTACTCCTTTTCCAATTTTTATGCTCTTATTCCCCCCCCAACCAAGTATATCCCCCTAGCCAAAAGGGCAACACACTCTAAACCCACACCCTTGGCAATGAAGTTCTAAATTTGATACAGGATAATGCAAGATATTCAGTCAAAGAGGACCAACTAACTAAAGTTACGGTGCCAAATTTCCAGCCTACAACTAACGGAAACAAATTGTTCATTTAATACCTAATTACAAAATAATAGAACAAAAACATTTAAAAATCAGAGGTCCAAGAATGCTTAGAACTTTCTTCTTTTAACTCTGTTTGTTGATAATTTCAGTGGTGATCTCACACAGTGGCAGTGATGATCTCAAGACAATTCTAATATATTGCTCAAGGGATCAAAAGGCTATGGCGAGAAAGTGGGAACAAGGTAGTGAGTTAGCGGATCGGCCATGATCATTTAGAATGGTGGAGCAGACTCAAATGGCCTACTCCTGTTATTTTCGATGTTTTTATGTGACAGATTTGGTGATGATGTCATTGTAATGCCCCAGAATTTGATCAGTAGGATAGATCGGGACCAACATTAAAAAGAGTGTTGTCAATCTACATGTTACAACCAGCAGGTAAGCTTAAATGCTATTTGTATTAACTGAGAAACATCATTAGGGCAGCCTGGATATTCCAATATTTCCCATTTCCCTGCATGCCTCCATGTTGAAGGTGGTGGGGGGGAAAGGGAACTCAGAAATAAATAGAGAAGGCGTGGGGCTGGGGAGGGTAGGTGGGATGGTGATAGGTAAGTGCAGGTAGGCAGTTGGGAGGATTGGTCAGTGAGGTGGGAGGAGCACCTCCTTCTGTCCTGTAAAAACTCAATGACCAATGAGAGGTGTACAAACTTTCAATCAAAAACAAATTTATAAACACAAAATTTTTCTTTCCATTAAATTTGTTTATTCATCAAGATGACTTACCTTTAGTGGTATGCTCTGTTCGATCTTTAATCCATCCAACAGTGGTTTGAATCTTTCACATTCTTTCTGCTCTGCTCTCTCTGTCACTGCTTCGAGTACTTTTTCATGCCTAGGAGAACAGCGTAACATTAGTCAGCCGCTAATAAATCCACCCATTCAATAAACACTTCATATCACACAATTAAACTTTCTACTTTTGTTTTCTTTTAAACATGTACATCTTACTGCATAAACACCGCTTCATAAAATGATATTCTAAGAAAAACAACAATTCCGAGTTTTGCACATGCAAACAGTCACTGGCAGTTCAACAGAAAAGCATACGTCATTGCACCAAAAAAAATGGCACAGGCATCAATGAATCTCCATTATTGAATGTTTGTACCAAGTTATTGCTTTTAAAGAATCAATTGCTTACATATTCTCAGGTCCTGGCAGGACACAGATAGCAGACAGCAGCTTGGCAGCATCGATCATCATAGCTGGAGCATTAAGATCTACAGCTTTGACCAACAGTAGAATGCCATCTTCTGAATCCAACATCATCTTTATCCCATTCTAGAAAGTTAAGGTTGAAAGAAATTGCATTACCTTACACAGAAAGGACTAATGAATAAATGGAGACAAATTGTGTTGTAAATGTAGGGTTTACACCAGAAACATTCAACTGTATTTGCTTGTTTCAGATCCAATGGATATTCCTGACCACATCTATACTTATTTTGTTTGTGTGTTAGTTATAAGTGTTCAATACATTGCTTCAGAAAGGGAGCTGTTAATCTCAGCACAGCCTGAAATTCACTGGAGGTCTCACAGCCATGTAACGCTGGGTTGTGGCACAGTGCTGGGTGAAAGGGAAAGGAGAGAACTGCAGTGACTATAGTCCAAGTCAAAACTAAGTCAAACCTTGCCAGATGCACAGCAGAACATTTAGCAGACTATATAAATGTTCCAACAAGTTTGTAAAAGTACCCATAAGACCAACTGAAAAATAAATTTTTGCTAACAGGAATTCAGAGGAGAACAAGTGAAGGAAAGAGGGCACAAGGCCTCATACAACTCATACAATTTCCTTCCCCTGTCTGTTATCTTTAGTGACACTACAGTCAGGGGAAGGCAATGATCTCATGAATCCAGACATCCAGGAAATATTCTGGGGGAACCCCCAAGCTCCCGGGGCGAGGGCAGATGGTGGAATTTGAATTTAAATATAGAAAAAAAAATCTGGAATTAAAGAGTCTAACGATGACCATGAATCCATTGTCAATTGTTAGAAAAATCCATCTGGTTCACTGATGTCGTTTAGGTAAGGAAACTGCCATCCTTACCTGGTCTGGCCTAAATAGGACTCCAGGCCCACAACAATGTGGTTGACTCTTAACTGTCCTCTGGCAATTAGGGATGAGAAATAAATGTTGGCCGAACCAGCGATGCCCTCATCCCATGAATGAATTTTAAAAAAACACTCCAAGAACCACAACACTAATGAAATATCTGAGTTTATGATGCTCTTGCTAAGGAAGAATGTCCTAGTTCTGCATTTCTGAGTTGTCTATAGTTGATAATATTTGGTGCTTATCAGCAATTTAACATGGTTAATGAGGAGCAACAAAAATTAAATATATTCAGAAACTGAAGACTGTCAACTGGGTCCAATACCGATCCAGCCACTGCTATTAAAACACTCACCGTGTTGTTCATAAAAGCTTTGAGGCATCTAATAATTTCATGTTGAATTTTCGGGTTCAGACTGCAAGAGATAATACTGCAAAATTAGTACATGCAAACATGTTGGGTTTTGCACCCCCCCATGTGCTTATTCCTCCAAGGCACATGGTAATGTCAGTGGATTAATATTCCAGAATCCCAGATGAATGCTATCAGGACATTTTCAAATCTAACAATTCAACTGGTGAAATTTGAATTGAAAGGAAAATCTTGAATTGAAAGGTAATCTAATGGTGACCATGTACCATGTGGTTATCGTAAAGACCCATCTAGTTCACTAAAGTCCAATTAGAAAGAAAATTCACCATGCTTTCTTGGTCTGACCTACAAATTACTCCAAGCTCTCAGCAACGTGATCGATTCTTAACTGCCCTCTGAATGATTCAGCTATGGTCAGTTCAAGGTTTCCTTTGAGAAAACATTTTTCTCGCATCGACACTGGTCAAGTCCCCGCAGGATCTTGAGTCAACAAATGTGGAGCTGGACGAACACAACCGGTCAAACAGCATCACAGGAGCATGAAAGTCAATGTTCTGGGCCGAAACCCTTTGTCCTGACGAAGGGATTTCGGCCCAAAACATGGACTTTCCTGCTCCTCTAATGCTATCTGACCTGCTGTGTTTGTCCAGCTCCACGTTTATTGACTCTGGCTTCCAGCATCTGCAGTCCTTACTGTCCCCTCAGGATCTTGTATGTTTCAATTAAGACACTTCTGACTTAAGCCCAGAGGATACAGGCTTAGACTGTATAGCCTTTCCTCATAAGGCAATTCACTCATTCCAAGTATTAGTCTAAGTCTGGTAAACCTTCTCTGAAATGTTTCCAACACATTAACTTCCTTCCATAAGTACGATGACCTGTACTGTGCACAGTACTCGAGATGTGGTCTCACCAATGCCCTTTATGACTGAAGCATAAGTTCTTCATTCTTGCATTCAACTCCACTTGCAAAAGAACATAACATTCTATCAGCTTTTCTGCATACTAATCTTCTGAGATTCATGCACTAGGACACCCAGGTCTCTCAGAGCACCTCATAGCTCTACAATCTCATCAAAAAGATAATATGCTTCTTTTTTATTCTTTGTGATTAAAAAAGGGATAATTTCACACATTCTACTCTGTATGGCAGATTTTTGCCCACTTACAACTTAGCTATATCTTTTTGTATCCTTTTCACAACTCACTTTCCTATTTATCTTTGTGTCATTTGCAAATTTAGCTACTACACCTTCGATTCCTTCATCCAAAACATGTTTGTAAATTGTAAAGAGTTGAAGCCACAGCTCTTATCCCTGCGGCACCCCCTCATGATATCTGTCAGCTTGAAAATGACCCATTTATTCCTATTCTCTGCTTCCTTGTTACCAAATCAATTTTCTATCTAGCGCTACAACATAAGGTTTTATTTTCCACAATATACTTTGATATAGCACCTTATCAAATATTTTCTTGAAATCTAAATATTACAGCTCAAGTTACTTCTTCAAAGAACTCCAATAAACTGGTTAAACAGGATTTCCCTTTGACAAAACCATGTTATCTTGATGGGCTGAATGGCCTGTATCTGTTCCTATGTTATCATAAAGGTCCCATTTTCTTATTTCCTCATCGACCTGCTCCCTTTCCATCTGTACTTATTTAAAAACTGATGTATTTTTAACATTTTGACAGTTCTGATGAAAGGTTATCAATCTCAAATGTTAATTCTTGGTCTCTCTTTACAGATATGACCAGATGTCATGAGCATCTGCAGCTAGACCTACTGAGTTTCTCCAGCAATTTCTGATCCTGTTGAAGCTTTTACATATGCTTCATTCTGCTTGACTTCACTCAGGCCCAGGTAAAGGTTAACTGTGGAACCAGCAAATTTTCAGTGGTGATGGCAAAAGACCTAGAATCTTGGTGGACATTGCATCCTTTAGGAAAAGGATGTGTTTCCTTTACATGCATGAGGAAGACAACAGGAAACCAACTTATGTATTCTTCTCCACAGTCATATTGCCCAATGAAGCTAAAAGCTAAAAACCTCTGACAAGCAAGTGAAGAGGAAAACACAGGGCAGCAGAGCATGCAGCAATAAGCAGAGGACCTGCCAATGACAGGTGACCACTCCATACATGAATTACTGGACACCCAATAGGAAAAGTATTCCAGCTGTTTCTTTTCATCCCATCCTAAACCAAGAGTTTCTAATACTTAGCATTTCAACTTGAGAGCAGCTAACAACACAGATGAGGGACTGCACTTAGGACAATCCAACTCTGTGTAGTTCAGTAGTACAGGTTGCACTATGTCAAATGTCTTTACCAAGTGAACACCATGGTGCCTTTGATAATATTTTCAAATTCTCTTGGGCATTATCAAGTGTCTAAACAAGGAAACCAGTTGAAAAACAGGGGCAAGATTTAAAATGATTCAGAACTCAGACTGAAAAGCACGTGCAGACTATTTTAAGTACTATTGCTAATAATGATACTTGATTCAAGGATGTCAAGTTACCAAAGGCAGGCTCGAGTACATTGAAAAAGTGGTCACAAGAAGTAGTATGATTTCTTTACCTTAAAGGTTCTGGCTCATCCTGTAATGATTTCAATATATTCAACAGTGTCGCTAGCCCATCTGTTCCAAAGTTCTGCACCCAACTGTAAAAATAAGACAACAAACATTTATTCTAAACGGTTTGCAGCCATTGAGTTCACAATGCTAGACTCAATTTAAGGCAAATGTAATTTTTCTGGCTATGGCGCACCCAGAGAAATGTTAATTTTTAGTTTAAAACCATCTCCAAGGAAGGAACCTGGAGGTTACCCAATGGAAAGGCTTGCTTGGCAGCAGTTGATGTTAGTAACAGCTTAATGTCACTGAATCCCTAATGTCAACTGAAGCATCAGTGCTGAATCATGCCAGCATTTCCATAACACCAACGTGTGCATACAACAACCAAATACACATCAAGGGATTTCTAAGTAAAAACCAAAAGAACTGCAGATACTGCGGTTCTGAGGAAGGGTCACCGGACCCGAAACGTTAACTCTGATTTTTTTCTTCACAGATGCCGCCAGACCCACTGAGCTTTTCCAGCAATTTCTGTTTTTGTGCGGGATTGCTAAGGATTATTGTTATTCCATATTTCAAGCTTATGACACCAAAAACAAAAATTTATCATCCCTTATTGTTTCATTTTATGAATCCTAAAGACCTGGCAAGTTGGATTATAATGTTTAGAGAACAAAAGAACAAAGAACAATACAGCACAGGAACAGGCTCGTTGGCCCTCCAAGCCTGCACTGATACATTTTCCCCTTCCACATTAAAACTGTTTTCACTTACAGGATCGGTATCCCTCTATTCCCTCCCTACTTATGTATTTGTCTAAGTGCTTCTTGAAAGCTGCTATTGTGTCTGCTTCCACCACCTCCTCTGACAATGCGTTCCAGGTACACAACACCCTTTGTATGACAAACACGCCTCGCTCATCTTGTTTAAATTGCACCATCCTCCCACGTTAAACCTGTGTCCCCAAGTAATTGACCTCTCCACCCTGAGAAAAGGCCTCATACCTTCAACTCTATCCATGCCATTCACAATCTTATAAACTATCAGGTCGCTCCTCAACCTCCTGCATTCCAGTGAAAACAAACTCAGTCTGTCCAACCTTTCTTCATAGCTAAAATCCCATATACCTTGCAACAGCTTGGTAAACGTTTTCTGTACCCTCTCCAAAGCATCCACATCCTTCTGGTAATGTGGTGACCAGAACTGTACACAATATTCCAAGTGTAGCCTAAATAAAGTTCCATAAAGCTGCAGCATAACTTGTCTATTCTTGTACTCAATGACCCTTCCAATGAAGGCAAGCATGCCACTGGCCTTTCTTAATGCCTTATCTACCTGCGCTGCCACCTTCAGTGATCTGCATACCCAGATCCCCCTGCATATCAATACTCCTAAGGGGTCTGCCATTCACTGTATAATTTCCACCTGTACTTGACCTTCCAAAATGCATCACCTCACATTTGTCCAGATTCAGCTCTATCTACCATGTTTCTGCCCATGCCTCCGACTGATCTATATCCTGCTGTATCCTCTGACAATCCTCCTCACTCTCTGTAACTCCACCAATCTTGGTATCGTTCACAAACTTACTAATTAGACCAGTTATGTTTTCCACCAAATCATTTATGTAGATCATGAACAGCACAGATCCCAGCACTGATCCCCGTGGAACAGCACTAGTCACAACCCTCCATTCCGAAAAGCATTCTTCCACTGCTACCTTCTGTCGCCTACAACTAAGCCAGTTTTGCATCCATCTTGCCAGCTCACTCCTGATACAATGTGACTTCATCTTTTGTACGAATTTGCCATTAGGAACTTTGTCAAAGGTTTTACTGAAGTCCATGTAGACAACATCAACCACTTTTCCATCAATCATCTTCATCACCTCCTCAAAAAACTCACGTTAGTGAGGCATGACCTCCCCCGCACAAAACCATTACTGTTTATTGCTAATCAGTCCATTTCCTTCTAAATGCTTATAGACCTTGTCCCCAAGAATCTTTCCCAACAATTTCACTACCACTGATGTGAGGATCACAGGCCTGTAACTTCCTGGATCATCCCTGTTACCTATTTTTTACAATGGGAGAACATTAGCTATTCTCCAGTCTTCTGGGACCTCACCTGTGGCCAAAGAGGATACAAAGATGTCTGTCAATGCTCCAGCAATTTGTTCTCTTACCTCGTCAATATTCTGGGATAGATCCCATGGGCACTTGGGGACTTACCTATCTTAATACTTTTTAAGATGCACAACACCTCTTTCTTTGTAATAGCAACTTGGCTTAGAAATTCGACACTCCCTTCCCTGAGATCATCCTCCATCAATTCTTTCTCTTTGGTGAGTACTGATACAATGTATTTGTTTAAGATCTCACCTACCTCTTCCTGCTCCACACATACATTCCCTCCTTTGTCCTTGAACATTTAACATGACATCCAGCACCAGAAATTGTGAACAGACCACCATATTTTGCACAGAATTTAAAGCTGCTATAGGGAGAGGTTGGACAAACTTGATTGGTTTTACTCGAGCACCGAAGACAGAGGGGAGACAAAAAAGTGTATAAAATTATGAGAAGCATAGATAGGACAGATAGTTGGAGTCTTTTTCCCAGGGTGGAAATGTCAAATACTCGGGGACACAGAGTTAAGATGAGAGGGGAAAAGGTTTAAGGAGGCAAGTTTTTTTTTGCACAGAGTAATAGGTGCCTGGAACGTGCTGGGAGGTGACAGAAATAAATACAATAGCAAAGTTGACGAGGCATTTAAACAGATTCTTGAACAGGCAGGGAATAGAGGGATACAGACCATGCTCAGACAGATGCGATTAATTTAGAATGGCATTATGATCAGCATAGGTACAATGGATTGAAGGGCCTGTTCCACTGCTGTACTATTCTATGTTCAAAGTGATGGAGAAAAGCTGACGAAAAAAAGCTGAGGAAACAAGAATCTGTGCTGAAGGACACAGTGAGCCTCTGGACCAACTCAAGCACCAATCTGATATTCAATGTAAAATTCTAAATTTCTCATCCTCTGTTCACTCTGCCCTTCCCTCAACTTCTCTTTCCTCCTAGTGTTCCTTAAAATCTACCTCTACATCAAGCTTGTCTAATCTGTTCGAATACCTCCTGTGGTCTGTCATTAATTATGTTCGCATCCCATGAATGAACTTCAGAAAACTTTGTCAAAGCATTGACATTTTTTCCCCAAAGAACTTCACAAGGCAGACACTCTCTTACTTTCATTTTGTTCAGTAACAGAACATGCATTCCAACTTTTTGTTTACATACATTTATTTAGAGATGTACATTGAGACTGTGCACATTTCCAAACTACTACAAAGTCAGCATTTCAACTGAGTCCTCGCACAAGCTGCTTTCTGAGGTGTATATCATGTCATGGGAATTTTTTTGTTTAAATAGACATAGGCAAACTAGATTTGATGCCACACAAAACTGCTAACTTTTTTCTCTTTTTAATAATTAATCATTGGAGATGGTAGACTTCAGTGACTTTGCTAACACTAATTGCCCATCCTTATTTGTCCTTGAGAAGGTGATAGTGAGCTGCCTTCTTGAATCGCTGCAGTCGATGTGCTGTTGGTAGGCCCATAATGCCCTTAGAGAGAGAATTCCAGTAGATTGACCCAGCGGCATGAAAGAAACAGCAATGTTAGTCTAAGTTAGGAAAGCGTGTGGCTTGGAAGAGAAATTGCAAGTAGTGGTTTTGCCATGTATCGGCTGCCCTTGTCCTTCTAGATAATGGTCGTGAGTTTGAAAGGTGATTAGTGATTGATACTGGTAAAATCTTATTATGTCTATTACCTCACTGGGTTATTGCTGAGAGAAACACGCAAAGATTCCAAACAACTTAGCAGCTGATTATCTCGTATTCCTGACTTCAATTCTTGGATGTACATCACTGGTGATCTGGAACTTTCTTTCTGACTTTGCCCCTAAAAGAGAAAAATGAATTTTACGTGTGAAAGACTAGCTGTGGCAGGAAGCAATGGCAAAATGGTGACATCACTGAGCCAGCAATCCAGAAAGATGAGTCTGTATCATAAGAACATAAGAACCAGGTGCAGGAGTAGGTCATCTGATCCTTCGAGCCTGCTCTGCCATTCAATAAGATCATGGTTGATCTTTTCGTGACCTCAGCCCCACTTACACACCCTCTCATCAGAATACTTAAATCCTTTCAGAGATAGTAGGAACTGCAGATGCTGGAGAATCGGAGATAACAAGGTGTAGAGCTGGATGAACACAGCAGGCCAAGCAGCATCAGAGGAGCAGGAAGGCTGACGTTTCGGGTCCTGACCCCGCTTCATTTTCTGAAGAAGGGTCTAGGCCCGAAACGTCAGCCTTCCTGCTCC